GATACAAATAACGCGTTCGTATAGCAACTACTTCACTGCTTATAAGGGGTTGATGCATAATTTTCAGGCGTGTTTTATAATAATAATAATAATCAAGTTTATTGACCAAGAGAATACAAAGAAAACAAACAATATTTATTATGAAATATTATATATTATTTATTATGAAAAATGAAACCATCTAACCACTTTCTATACCTTTCCGAGCTTTTTGAAACGACGAAGTCTTCGGCTAGCATTCGAATTCGTCCTCTTCCACAGATACCAAAAGTGCCAGATTATAGAAATCCGATGGTCGACCTCTTCCAGGTTTATCTTCTAAGCTAGTGTCGCCAGATACTTCCCATTCACTGCATCGACTTTCTCAGATTGTTCCTTCGCCAAAAAGTACGTTGAGATCGCGAAAAGATTACACTTCTTTCCATCCTTTTTAGAAGTGTTAAAGCATAATATGACGAATATGAATATTTTATAACCTGAAAATAAAATAATCTTTTTATTAAAAAAAGTAAACAGAACAGCAATTTTTATGAACAAAATATCTGCATACAAAAACGCCTGATAATTATGCACCAACCCAATACATAAAGCAACTTTCTTTTTAAATATAAGTACAGTGGTACCTCCACATACAAGTTTAATTCGTTCAGTAACATTGCTCGTACCTCAAAGCAAGCGGGGATCATGTTGGGGTCGTGTGCGATTCCTCGTATCTCAAATCTTGCTCTCATCTCAAAACAAAATATCGCTCGCTCGGCGGCTCGTATCTCAAAACACTCGTATATTAGGGCACTCGTATATCGAGATACCACTGTAATTCTAGTTATTCAATCAATAAAACTTATTAAATTGTTTTAACTAAGAATGAAATGTTTATACATGACTTCCAAGATCTTCATTATTTCATAGGTGGATTAAATCTACTTTTACTAGTTACTTTTAGAAGAAAAAAAGAACTATCATACGAATATTTTCTTTATTGTAATTAAAAGGAATAAAACTGTAGTGAGTTTTGACCTTTATATAATAAAGATCTACAATATATATTAAAAAAAATAAAATTAAAAATATAATTATGTTAAGTTAATTCATATAAAAATGGAATAATTTTGACAATTATAAGTTATAAGACTTAGTAGTTTCCAATATCAATGTTTCGTTTGTTTAAATGTTTCTTACGCTTAAAATAGTATTAAAACACCTTAGCACATATTACTTAAGACCCTAAATAAATATGAACATAAAAATAAACGAAAAATACTTGTAGAAACATGAAATGGAAGGGCAGTTTTTTGTATTACTTTTCTCTTTAAAATGGTACTTGAAACTTAAAAAAAACGTGTCTTAAAATAATCATGGAATAATTTAAAGTGTGAATTCTTCAAGACCATCAACGGCTTCTTTTTGTTCTGGTGTTTCGTACTTTGCTACGACCATAGTGTGGGAGTAACCCATGGACAAACAAATAACCTTTACGCCATTTAATTTGGAAACCTAAAAAGCAGAAGTGTTTAATTATAGTGTTGTTAAATTTCTTATAAATTCTCTATTACCTCTTTTGGAGTAGTGCTGGATTTCTGATATTCTCCAAAACCGAGTTCTCCGAATGTCGGAGAACAGCCCCAGGCTATGACTGACTCATCAGCTGAGATTATGATTGATGTATTACCAGTGGCTATTTGGTGAATGTCCCAACCAGCCAAATCTTGAATGGGTTTAGGGTACATGTTGGCTTCACCAGTTCTCTTGGTTTGACCAAACATGAAGAGCGCCCCAATATCAGTCAATGTTAAACTGTAAGTTGAACCACAGTTTACAGACCTTACTCCTCTTGATTGTGTATCGAAATATTTAATTAAACGTGGAACCTGAAACGTTCAGCATTAATTATCTCGAACAAATTAATAAATATATATATGAAATTATACCATCTCATCTTTTTGTTCCGCATGACCAAGACGACCGAATCCTCCGAAACCCCACGAGAATGCTCTCTTCTTGCTATCAATAGCAACAGTGTGGTTTTGTCCGCAACTAAAGTCGACAATTTCTGTCACGTCCACAGGAGCAACGTGGCCATCCTTGCTCTTCTCAATGTACAAAACGATTCGTTTTGGGCTGGTTTCGTGATTGAAGCACAAGCGTGTGCTAGTTTTGAAATACTTACCATCAGTATTGTGGCCAAGTTGTCCATACTCAGGCAAACCAAACGAATGGAGTCCACCTTTAATATCCAAAATAACGGAAAATTCGCCGCCACAGCCAATCTGTTCATTGAAGCACAAAATTAAATTCCTGATAAAAAGCATGTTAACATTATAGACTTACCTTAACAATAGGAGGACCTCTGTAATTAATTCTGGTTGGAGTCAGTATCTGCGATTGCAAATTACCAACTCCACATTGCCCAGACTTATTGTCTCCACATGCATAAACAGTGCCAGTGTCTGTGAGGAACAAACTGTGATTGCGACCACATGCAGCACTGATCACATTAAGTTCAGCAAGTTTGGGCACTTCAGTGGGTGCATCAGTGGTGTTTACATGATCCAAGCCCAGCTGACCATGTTGATTGCGACCAAAAGTGTATGTCTTGCCATTGGCATCAATTAAAATACTGTGCGCAGATGAGCTTCCGCTTACAGCAAATCTGATATCCAAATCTGTAAATCGATTTGGAACGTAAATGTTAGGGTGAACCCTTTTCGAAGTCTTTGTTTCCTTCCGTCCTGTAATGTCCCAATTAACTTGACCAAATATGAGCAATTTTCCAGATGGCTTTACTAATGTTTTCAATAGTTCTTCAGGCAATTTGGTTGGCTCATCAAGGATATCCCCATGACCAGCAATGAGGACCTCATCCTGTGGTTGCTGAGGATTATTCTCAAAGTCACTTTCGTCTGTTAAATCTGAATCAACATCAGACTCTTCCTTCTTTTTGCCTCTCTTATTGGCTGTTTTCTTCGCTGGCGGGCGCTTACGTTTAGTCGACATATTCTACACAAAAATTTACTACCATTAAATAAAACAAATATCTAACTGTAAATTAGAACATAGCAGATAAGGCTAAAATCTGACAGTTATACAAATAACGCGTTCGTACAGCAGTGAAGTTGCTTGTAATTATACATAAAGCAAATCTTTTTTTACACATAATTAATAAATAAAATCAATTAAAACATGCGACTATAATTGAAATATGTAAACAAACACCTATGCTTTCTTTTTGTTTATTTTATAGAACGAAGCACCGCAATTGATTTGTATTCTTTGTGTGCAGATTTTCACAATAACGTTAGAGTAATTTAAGATATTCTTACCTGTTATGAAAGTGCTTTTCGATTTGAGAATGTAGTTTAATATGGGAACTGTTTGCTGTTTGCTGTAGCACTGTGTTTGTTGTTGTAGATATTTTTTTCACCGTTACTTCTATGTCAGCGTCTTACCGGCAAACTGTGAGTCCCGCGCGCGCTCAAATCAAAATGGCTAATCATACAAAAACCAATCCATCCCAAACAAATTATTACATTTCAGATGGCTTTTTTTAATAACGGCAGTTTTCGGAACATCGAAATCCCTACACTTTGAAACCAGTGGCGTACTGAAGATAGTTACCTCATCTTTGTGGCATTAAATCGCCAAGACCAGGGGCGTAACAATATGGGGGTAACTATTTTATAAGGATTTTACACTTCCAGATTAAGGTTGAAGCATAGTTGTTTTACAAAAATTTAGGTAATAACTTTCATTGATTTTGATCAGTTTGGATTCAGTAATATTTTCATAATTATGGATATATATTATTAAACTCTCCAACAATTTTGACAACATTTAATACATTATCTAACGATTAATATAAGTGGAAAAGTATCTAAATGCAATATCTCAAAGTTACACAATAATAATGTTAAGTTTGTGTCATTAATCAATTATTACATGTAGATTCAACATAACGAGTTACAGTCATTGGGTTGGGATGTTTAATAAAAATTGTCCATAAATTTTATGACTTGCTTATTGTACTATATTTTTTATTATTAATATATATACAGACATATTATTATTAATATTTATAATATACCTTCAATCCATTGACAAAATAATTTGAGAATAATAATGCTATAAATTAGTAAAACGGGAATTCTTAAATACGGAACTTTTTACATGATTAAAATAACTGTAAATTAGCTAAAGTCATGATACAAATATACACAGAATTTTATGATGAGCTAAAATTATTTATAATATTTTTTATAAGAATAGATCTTGCAATAAAACTAATTGTTAAAGACGAACATGGAATTATCCTATTTATTGAATCTAACTAAATTTTTTTATGATACAATAATATTTAATAATAATTGGATGATGCATTTTCTGTGGTGGATTAAGGATATTTGAAGCCCCTAGGCAAATTATTTTTGGAAGACTCTAAAAATGATATAGACTATGATGTTTTAAATACTATAGAAAAATGTCTTGGTTCAGGGCTTTCCAAATGCCTCCAAAGTACATACCTCATTGTCTTAATGGATAATCCGCCAATTAGCATTTTCATCACATTCTATTGCTACAGCAGCGTCATCTGTTGTCAAGAAAACTAATGAATAGAAGGGTTCTGCAATCTTTCATACATATTTGGATAATTTCTGAAAGTTTCTTAACTTGTATTGTGTTGGTATTACGACAGCCGGCCACGTCTTGTCTCAAGTGACAGTTTGACAGGCGATGTGTTTGTAATTTGTGTGGCCAAATATAATTCCAACACAGTAAATAAATATTTGAGGCCACGATTTCAATACAAAATTAATAATCATGGTATGTAAATATGCATTTTTATTTTTTATATAAATATCCGCACAATTACGTACATACTTTACAAAAAAAAATGTGTCCAAAATATCAAGTTTAACACATCATCAATTTATATGTTCTATCAATTTCACAATAATCTGTTTAATTGTATAAGCTACATGTTGGTACACCCCTTAATTGTAACTTGTTGATTTTCAAGTACAATGATTTGATTATTTAATATTTCCTTGCTACTTATAATTATGATGTTAATATGTGTTATTTTTCATGAATTTTCAGCCTCTGCGTTTAGATATCAAACGTAAACTTACTGCTCGATCTGATCGTGTTAAATCAGTAGACCTGCATCCAACAGAACCATGGATGTTATGCTCCCTGTACAGTGGTAACATCAATGTGTGGAATCATGAAAATCAGCAGTTGGTCAAAACTTTTGAGGTCTGTGATTTGCCTGTGAGGGCAGCAAAATTTGTGCCTCGGAAAAACTGGATTGTTGCTGGTTCAGATGATATGCACATAAGAGTCTTCAATTATAACACCCTTGATAGAGTCCATGCATTTGAGGCACACTCTGATTATGTTAGGTGTATTGTAGTCCATCCCACCCAACCTTATATACTTACAAGCAGCGGTAATATTATTAGAATAATGTAAATAATTTCAAATAATCTATATTTTACATTTTTATAGATGATATGTTAATCAAATTATGGAATTGGGAGAAATCGTGGTCGTGTCAGCAAGTCTTTGAAGGACATACTCATTATGTCATGCAGATTGCCATTAATCCCAAAGATAATAACACTTTTGCCTCTGCATCTCTTGATCGTACTTTGAAAGTATGGCAACTTGGAGCGTCTACCGCCAATTTTACTCTGGAAGGTCACGAAAAGGGCGTAAATTGCGTAGATTACTATCACGGCGGTGATAAGCCATATATCATTTCTGGTGCTGATGATCGTTTGGTTAAAATTTGGGATTATCAAAATAAAACTTGTGTGCAAACGCTGGAGGGGCATGCACAGAATATCAGTGCCGTCTGTTTCCATCCTGAATTGCCTGTAGTTCTGACTGGTAGTGAAGATGGAACTGTGAGGGTTTGGCATGCAAATACAAATCGATTGGAAAGCAGTTTGAACTATGGTTTTGAAAGAGTTTGGGCCATTTGCTGCATGAAAGGATCAAACAATGTGGCGATTGGTTACGATGAAGGTAGCATATTAGTGAAAGCCGGTAGAGAAGAACCTGCAGTGAGTATGGATGCGTCAGGTGGAAAAATTATATGGGCAAAGCACTCCGAACTTCAGCAAGCGAACTTGAAGGCATTGCCTGAGGGTGCTGAAATCAGGGACGGAGAAAGATTACCCGTTGCTGTTAAAGATATGGGTGCTTGCGAAATTTACCCACAAAGTATTCAGCATAATCCAAATGGACGTTTTGTTGTTGTTTGTGGAGATGGCGAATACATTATTTATACTGCAATGGCTTTAAGAAACAAGTCGTTTGGTTCAGCTCAAGAATTCGTATGGGCTCAAGATTCCAGTGAGTACGCGATTAGGGAGGCCAGTACTACTGTGAGAATTTTTAAGAACTTCAAGGAGAAGAAGAGTTTCAGACCAGATTTCGGAGCGGAAGGTATATTTGGCGGTTGGCTGCTCGGTGTTAAATCCGTATCTGGTTTAACTTTCTACGACTGGGAATCATTAGATTTGATTAGGAGAATTGAAATCCAACCAAAAGCTATCTACTGGTCAGATAATGGCAAATTAGTATGTTTGGCAACCGAGGATAGTTATTTCATTTTGAGCTATGATCCAGAGCAAGTCGTTAAAGCTAGGGAGAATAACGAAGTGGCCGAAGATGGCGTAGAGGCCGGTTTTGAGGTATTGGGTGAAATTAATGAAGTTGTGCGTACGGGTTTGTGGGTTGGAGATTGTTTCATTTACACAAACGCTGTAAATAGGATTAATTATTACGTAGGCGGTGAATTGGTCACAGTTGCTCACCTCGACAGACCCTTGTATCTTCTGGGCTATGTACCCAAAGACGATAGACTTTATTTGGCCGAAAAAGAATTGGGTGTTGTAAGTTATCAACTCCTACTTTCCGTACTTGAGTATCAGACTGCAGTAATGCGAAGAGATTTCGCAACTGCCGATCGGGTTCTGCCATCGATACCAAAAGAACATAGAACAAGAGTTGCTCATTTCTTAGAGAAGCAAGGTTTCAAGCAACAAGCCTTAGCAGTTAGTACAGATCCAGAACACCGATTTGAATTGGCCTTAGCATTAGGTGATTTGAATATCGCAAAAACATTGGCCGTTGAAGCTAACAATCCTCAAAAGTGGAACCAATTAGGCGAGTTAGCCGCAAGCAATAATAATCTGCCATTGGCGAAAGAGTGTATGCAGAGAGCTCAGGATTTCGGAGGTCTGCTACTAGTCGCGACGAGTACCGGTGATGCTGACCTTGTCAAGAAGTTGGGTGAATCCACCTTAGCCGAAGGCAAACACAATATATCTTTCCTCTCCTACATGCTATTGGGAGACCTGAGGAAGTGCCTGGATATTTTAATTCAAACCGACAGACTACCAGAAGCTGCATTCTTTGCTAGATCTTACCTACCCGATCAAGTTTCTCACGTCGTCGGCTTGTGGAGGCAGCAATTGTCCGCAGTAAATCCTAAAGCTGGTCAAAGTTTAGCTGACCCAAAGGAATACGAAAATCTTTTCCCCGGTATGCAGGAAGCGATTGCAGCGCAACACTTGATTGAGGAAGAGTTCAAAACACTTCCACCTGCCGAAAAGGCAACTTCAATAAAATCCAATTGCGAGAGGAACCCAATTGAGGAGATGAAAGCGAAGAGTCAAGGTTACTCCGTGCCTTCTAGTTCTAGGTAAATATTATTAGCATTATTTAATTTCTTATTTGCATTTTATCGAGTTCTTATTTCAGCTTAGAGAATGAAATTGCCGCGGAACCTCTAATTGAAGTTGAATCCAAATACACTGAAGATGATGAATTGGATTTGGAACTCGAAGGAATGAATTTAGATGATAATATTGATACAACGGTAAGTTTATAGATTTGCAATGATTTATGCTTGTATTACATGAAAATATTTCAGGACATAAACCTTGACGACGATCTACTGAACGATTAATGTGTTGCCCAATTTATATGATATTTATATTAGTATTATAAGTGAAAGCAAGAAAAAGAAATCTTCATTCCTCAACATAACATTGCAGTTCTATATTTTTCAAAGGAAAATTGCAAATTGTAATAGTTTCTGTATTATATTTTAATTAAAATACTAAAAGTTTTATTTTTTGTTTCGTTGTTTTTATTTTTTCTTTTTGTAATTTTTGGCCAATAAAATTATATATATGTACGAATTTTAATTTCTATTTTCATCTGCAATAGTTTACGGGTTTCTTGCGTTGTTTTGATAGCGATTGTAGATATAACATGTATTTAGGGGACCGTGGAAATTGGACTGTAATTAATGTCGAGACGAACAAATATAAAGAAAGTTAAAAGGCGAGTTAATTATTTTATGGGGTAGTCTCTTGTTTTTTTTAACGTTTCTAAAGAATTATAAAGCACGGCTTTACGGTGCGAGCTGGATTCGGGGAAGATTTATATTGTGGGGCATTCGCGGTGTCACGCAATTTATTATTCCCCTGGCCGCAAGAATCAAATAAAATTGTCCAGCTGCAGTATTTTGAACGATTTTCTTTTGGCGAGAGTCGGACGAAAAAAATAAAATAGAAACGTTAAAACGTCTGGGGAAAATTGTTTGTCATTGCCACATTTCTTACAAGTGTTGAAGTGCCAAATACAATCCACAGAATCATTTTTTTTTTGCTGTTTTCGCTTCGCGAATACGAAAACGCGATATTTACTGCGTTCGAACTATTTTTTTTATTTGGTCTTAAATATATTGGAATGCAACGATTTTACGGCTCATTACTTCAATCATTTCATTCGTGTTGTTATTTCGTAGATGGCATGTATTTCCCTTTGATACCGTCTGACCATTGCGGTTATTTTGTTTTGTTTTCAACTAGAAGCGATGTTTGCGTGCCGGAACATGCGAATCACGCCGTGTGTGTATGGTCTTTGCGCCTCAAGTTTATATATGCACGCATAATATTCGAATATGTGGGAATGGAAGCTATTAAAAACTTGATTTACTGCTGATGCGGACGTTTTCCTAAACGTCTACAAATTGTCGAGGCGGCAAATGAGCCTCATTAATCAGCCAACTAATACACTTCCAAGTTAATTTGGGACCCTGAATAAATCCCAACAGTGACACTTTTATTTGTTTGCATTTCTGGGGTTAAACACTCTTTCCTGTGATGTATTTTTACATTCGGCGAAATCCACCCGCCGAACAAAAAAGTATTCACTCGGCGAAGAAGTTGAGCAAAAAAATATAAAATACGAAATGAAGATTTTTCAAATTTTTCGAGTCCCCGTTTTTTTTTTAATTAAGCGCGTCTCACCGTAATTGACGTTGATGATAAAATCTGAGTTATACCTTCCGATATATCAGATGCCAATATAAATCATGTTTACATAATTTGGAATCACAATAGACTTAAATAGATTATGTCATTTTTAACAGTCGGACGTGCGGGGAACACACCAGACGATTTTATAAATAGCGTTTACGACTTTGGGCCGAAATATTAAAGTAAGTTTATGATGATAATCTAGAACAGGGGTTTCCAACTTGGAATATAAGTATCCAGTACAAAGCATATTTTTACCAGTATTACCATAGAATTTATTACTTTGTTCAATATATTTACATCATAAAATATTACTACAATTTTTAAGAAACTTGAAATATATTTCCAAATGTTCAAGTATTGAAAACTAGAACAGTATTTTTTTTTTTACAAATTTGCTGTTTTTTTAAAAATTCATAATAATGAACTTCCAATAAAACTAATTTACTTTTACACATTGCTCATGTTTATTAAATGTATCAGATAAATTATAGATTACAAATTTAGCAATATATGAATGGTGTAAAACCATTAAAATTGATTCATAATTTTCAGTACAAATCTAGAACATTGTTCATTAATATTTTAGTCAATGCGTTTTGAGATAAATTTAACTGTTATTGGCAGATCCATAATATGTAGGATCTTGTAAGCTGCAATTAAACTTGCATTAAGAAAACGAAGTACATGTATCAAGAAACTGAGGGTGAGAGAAAATTCTTCGTTTAATGTATTTCCGTAGAGATTTATTGGACATGTTATGATTGTCGAGTTGTAAAGGAAGTGGTGGACATTTGGCAAGAGAAATGTCAATACCGGACGGTAAATCGTGATCTTGGGTGGTGTAAATCAGGGAAAATAAATCGAACGCGCACAAATGCCAAGGTATTTAGGTGTATAATAAATAGCGAGTTTTCATCGAAATTATTGTTTATTTACAAAACAACCGTTTTAGTTATGAAACCGTTTAACGATGATATAAGATTATGAGTGCGCGTGTTTTATTCAAAACAAACAGCGCACACTATTTAGTACCGAGTTGGTGTGTCTCCTCGCGTGTATAAAGTTTTAGTGGATATTTTGATAGGTGTCATTTAGAATCTTTATGTTTTGTAAACGATGCGAGTCGGTTTCAACAAACAATTATCAATATATTTCAAACATTTTATATTCCTCGCAGATTCAGCATCTCTCGCCGATTTTCAGTTTATTTATACAACCAGGCTCTTCTCTAACTGAAAGAAAGAAAAACAGAAACACTAATACAGCAGACGATTTATCGCCATCAAAACTTTAGTTTGTAATTACAACATTTATTAGTTTGGATGATTTACGATGTATTCTAAAAAACGAAACTACTTTAGCTGAGATTATTATATTTCTTGTAGGCGGAAGACTATTTTCAGTTGCTATTTTAAAAATTTCGAAAAGAAAAAACGCATAAAATTAAGTTCTTTCTGGAAGTGCCATTAGGGTTACTGAAAGAGTTCTATTAAGGTATCAATTAAACGCTAAGATGCCACCTGCTGAGTAAACTTTGTGGAAAGGGGTATCTCATGATCCATCCATTCACGTAGTTTCTGTTTGTTCTGGTTAAATTAAGAAAGCAATGAATTTGGGTTTTATTTCGAGAGGTGAGGATCTAAGTCCGATGCGCTCGGGGTGCATGAAGTCAATGCGTAATCCAACAAATAGCGGTCGGCTAATTTATGTTGAAGTCCTGTAATTCCGAGTTACAATAACGTTAAAGTTGTGCAGTGGTTAGCAATAATGTATGGTTGTAAAGCGCTGGTCGGCCACGGAGATGACGTTGATGACGATGACACCCCGATGTAAGTGCTGTGGCAGCTGTTGGCACTATGTCTTCGCAGCCCACGCTGTCATCCTCTAAGCTATTTTCACTCACGGCATTCCCGGCCTAATCCCTCGGGACCTACTTGTCTTCACTTTATTAGCTGTGCCCAGCACACTCAATCGTTTTCGAAGAAACACGCAGCACGGCTCCCTCTTTTACACACTCTCTCACACTCACCAAACACAAGGATTAAAAGCACGTTTATTTTTAAAACAACGCGGCACCCAACAAAACACTGATTGATATAAATGGACAGCATTAACATGATCTATACGGAATATTTAACACTGAGTTTTTGTTCAAAGCTCATGAATGGCTCGACGATAAATTCTAAACTATAATTTAAATCACACACGATGCTTCCTAATTACTCTAACTCTATTCATTCGAAACCACATTTCTCTTTTTGGTAGTCCTCAAGTTACACAAAAATAATACAACATTTGATATTTACAAATCCACAAGATTTCCCAAATCATTGAAATCATCATTTATTAACTATATAAAACATTTATTAGCGATATTAACTTGTAATTCTATAACTTATAAAAATTTTGAAAGAACTCGCAATTCAAAACTTCTAATTTCTCAACTCTATTAACAGAAAACTATACAAAACTTTTTAATACACCTCAAATTAAAATTTTCAGTAACAGAAATATATTTCTTAGTTAAATATGTAAAAAAATCAATTAAGGATAAATCATTTAAATTTGAGAAGTATTTAAACATTAGTACCTAGTTTAACTATAATTGCATTAAAATTGATAATTGGACATAAAGACATCAAAGGTTGATAGCTCCAGACAATATTTAGATTTTTTTTTAAAGTTTATTATATTATCTCACAATTTACATTTATTTCTTATATTTTGACCAATAAATTATTATGATTTATTTACTCTAATTTTGGTCAAATGGGAAATATTAAAAGTCAAAAATAAGGGAAAATAAGATTATATACAAATGTAATTAGGAGCGATAACTTTCTATATTTATAAATACTTTGTGAAAAACCTTACATTAATATATTTCTTGGCGTTTTGTAGAAAATTACGAGTTCCCAAAAACTCGGAATTATTCTGAAAGGTTACCACTCAATAGAAATTATGTTCAGAACACAAATAGATGCTATATTTTTTTTTGGACTATAGATACAATATCTTTTTTTAAAAGCGGTAAACATTTGCGTGTTTGATATTGCGAAAGATAGCAAAAAGTTGATTTTAAATTCTTGGTAATAAAAAAAAAGGAGCGACGTGTGTTGATGTTAATTGAAATGCATCGCCTTTAAATAATATACGTCTTCCATCTTGCGTGTTAAATGGTCTCCAAGAACATGAACAGATTTTCCAGTAATTTAAACATCGCGCAGGAACATCGCCGTTAATTCTTGAAATTCCTTATTATAATCTGCTAGCTTCTGTATATTTAAATGACATTTAAAGGAAGTAATTGCTTTTCTTCTTAAATGTTCTCTTCATCTTTTTTTCTTTGTCATGCGTAATCTTGCATATAAATTCTGTAAAAGCCGACTTTTCATTTTACGTAAATTTTATTCGAAATGACATAACGTTTGATGGAGAGAAAATACTGAATCATCGTTGATGAAATCTCGATTGTGGATCGTGTGCGGTATTAGATAATTCTGGACCTTTTTTCGATGCTGAAAATAGAGAGGAAATAGGTGTTGGACCTAAAGTTCTCAAGAGACATCCGAAAGCAGCTGATAGGCGTCGGCGCCTTTACAATTTTAAACTGACGTTATGTACGACTTCCACCCCACCGAACACTTGCGACGCCCTATCTGAAGCTCTCCCCAAATACACAGCTTGTTTGCAAACACGTCCGTATACAAGAAACTACACTCACACTGTCGGCCACGTGATAAATAAATATATCACATTAGCTACTTAATGACTCAAAGAACTACCGTGTGTTGTTTGTGTGTGAAGTGCCGATGCCAAAAATGATACAAAACCTCAGTAGACGTTCCCACTTTTCACACCACCAAACACTTAAGCGGATTCTCTAGATTCTTATTGATGACCAAACTTTTATACAAAGTTACAAACAACAAAAAAATAGTGACATGAACAGTATAAATATTTTGGAAATTGCGGTTTCGTTATTTTTAAATTTACATACCGTTTAAAATTAAGGTCAATAGCCTATAAGTATATAGTAGTAGAGATTGATTATATATAAATCTCGTTTAAAATAATAGTATTGTTTTTGGTAAACAGTCAGAAAGAGTTGCATCGATAACATTTTGATTGAATAAAAAGACCAATAAAGATTTGTAAATAAATCTAAAATATGAAATATTTTTTCAAATTCTTAAAATACTTCAATTTTCATTTCTGTTAATTCGTAATAGTTTTCAAAGTATAAATTGTAAATAAATCATCGAGTTTCGATTTAATTAAAAAAATAATATATAATGATTGCAGATAATACGATTGTTTCACAATTCGAATCCTGACCTATAATAATACTGATGAAATTTGTTTACGATAACGCAAACCATAATATTTTACAAAACTTTTCTATGTTTATAGTAAATACCAAATAAAGCATTCACAACAAATTTAAAACGCCTTTAAATCCTACGTCAACAGACGTAAATAAACAGCCACACACACGTACATACATACACAACACACTTATGCCAGTTTTCGATTTCACTTGAATTACGTAATATGATTTTTGTGCAGCGCTTGTGTTCTGAAACATACACGCCCTCAATACATTTTAGTTATTGTTAGATGGTTTTGCTCTTGATTGAAAATCGTCTCATTGTACTCATTTTTTTTCTCTTGTCTATATTATTAACCAAATTGACGAAAAATACTAAATCTTACAATCCAATACTTTTTTTTACAACGTGGAACATCTTTTTTCTTCAATTATTCATCCATAAAGTCTAAAGTTTACAATTGTGAATATTTTAAACACTTTAAAAAAAAGCATGTGTGTGGAGAGGACAGAGGGCAGAAAGACCTACGGTCAATAGCCCTATGCAGCAATTTTATTATATTTTTGTTATTGTTGCATTATATATTATTATTGATAGGACAAATCTCTTAAATTAATAAATTCGGTTTAATTAATATATAATTTCCCTCAATTTTCTTATACAGTGGAACCTCGCTTAACGAGTTTATTCCATTCCAAAATTTCTGGATTTTTACTCGTATAGTGAAACATATTAAAAAATACACATGATATGTATAAACAATTTTTAAAAATGATGTAGCAGGTGCATAATCCGGGATTTCTTACAATTAATTTTGCTTGTTATGCGAGGTGCTCGTTAAGCGAGGTTTCACATAATCAAATAATTGATAAGTGGAGGTTTGGAATTATTATTAAATGTAGTAACATGAGATTGAAATAATTCCAATTTATTCCAATAAGAAAATTTTAGGTAATAAAAGTAATTTTATAAACGCAAATTTTTAAATTTTCATATTACAGTGGAACTCTTGTATTTCCAGATCTCTACTCGTATAGTAATACAATTTTCCATATATAAACTAATGTAATATAATGCGTTCCATTTTGCGAGTCATTTTTTAACTTACAATTTATTTTGCTCGTTAAGCGAGGTTCTACTGTAATAGCGTTATAAATTATATAAAATGTTCTATGAATTTAATTTTTACTACAGTAGTTACGTGACATTAGTTTTTTTTTATTAAACTATCAAAAGTCAAGTAACATAGATTATTAATAAAAATAAAAACTTTACTACCTACCCTGAATCCATTGAAACAGCGTCCTGTAATAAGATATTATGTTTTTCAAGGTGGGTATAAATAATATATGAAAATTAAATTTGAATTATGATTGACTATTTATTTACATCATAACTATCATCAAGAGACAACACTACAAGATTATTGAGTGTATTGGTGCCAAAAAGGCTTGTATTAATTTTATTAATATCCCAAGAACATATGTACACTTCAATTTCGAATTTCATTACAACCTAAACACATATACATATATATTTAATATCAGGACATCTAATTTTATTTACATAATATTACATATTCATGAAAATACTATAGCTTAAATTAAAACTAAGTTATTTAAAAAATAGAAAAAAAACACATAAGTTCACTAAATAAAAGCTCACAGTTTTAAAACGGTATAAACATTTTGGACACTAAAACTAATTCTACTACACAAATTTATATATTTCAAATATTTATTTACAACAGTTCACTAAATTACACAATTTTTTTAAATTATTATTACTAAACATTATTAAATTCGTTTCATCGTGAATTTAGTACCAAAAAATTGAATTTAACGTGTGAAACCTGCAGTGTTTAATTATTTCCCTTACCATGTGCAGCTACGTAGAAATCTCAACGTCTAATTTACGTTCAGTGTGGTTAAGAGTATTAATAACTATTTTTATATCGATTACATCGTGAATCTTAATTCTATTTTCTTCTTGTTTTGTTCGTTTATAGATTGAAATGCATTTCTTACAATTGGTAATTAAGATTTTGCAAAAAAAAATGCAGTCCTGGAATTCTCGGTAATCAATTCAAGAAATATAATAAGGATTTTCTTGTTTGATCGATAAGGATTGAAATGCTTAAAAGAACAAAACAAAATCAAATAAACCTGGAATTCGTTAAATAATGCATTCAAGGATAAGTGAATAAAAAACAACTTAATTTCAGCAAGGAAAGATATTCACTGTATTCTGTTGATTAAAGAATGGATATTGTTTTGTTAAATTATGCCTATGCGGTATATAAATACATAATAACTTCGATTATATATCATTTTTAAATGTATGAACGAAATTAAAAAGACAAACAAATGGCGATTCGATGTTTTTGTATATCATTACGGACGGATTATAAATTACAAATAATAAAAGAAATAATAATAAACATTTAGAAACTAAAACATTTTCGCTAGGGTGGAAGATATATTAATGAAATTAAGTGGATTTGTTGATTACTGGGTGGTGGTTTTTATATATTGAGTTTTTGTTAGGCTCGAAGCATTTGCAAACTTCATAATACTTTCAAAGTACAGCATTAATGTTGCTTTTAGATGTATGTTCCATTCATGGAGTCGCGTGATAACATTTTATCTATTCTCGATGTGTGTAAGAACGGACCATCTTTTTTTTTCATTTTCGAAATGTTATTTATATTTGCGACCTTGGAAAGGATACATTATCGTTGCGAAATCGTCTGTGTGTGCTTCAGCCGGATTAGAGTTATGTTCACAAATATATATATTTACAATAGTTGCATGCTGAATGCCGTTTAGACCTTCTTTTTCGTTAAAAACAAACGACACCGAGCTCGCAGTCTCCATTCGTTGAACACATTGTACAGATTTTTTGTTTTTTCTTCTTTTTGTTTTATCTAGGAGTATGACCTCGGTGGTGCTTCGGACTCAAATGTAGGGGTCACCACTGCAACAGGAGCTGGGAGTCAGCCTGTGGCGAACTTAGCGGGACGGAGTACTCACTCTCTGGAGGCCAGTAAGCCGGATATCGGCTCGGTTCTTGGCGCATTCCGCAAGGGCTGAAGGGCGTCGGAGGCGGATAGGCTTGCTGCGGATAACCGGCCGGTGATGCACAACTTGAGGTGTAAGCTAACGATGAATTGGCTGCAAAGAAGCAAACGAAAAGCAAAATGAGCAGATGTTGCATGGTTGATGGTTGTTGTTCTTACTGTGTAACCAAGAGCCGGTGTCGTATCTCGAGTAACTTGCCGGATAGCTGGATGTTGAGAAGATGTTTCTGGTCAGAGGTAGACCGTGTTGGGTCAGGGCATCCCCGAAGAAGGCTTTCGGATAGGGCTGAGTGTTCCTGTACGGCCTCTTCATGCGTCTCCTCCTCCTGTAGTTACCATTCTCGAACATATCGTCGTACTGCGGATCTAAGGTCCAGTAATTGCCCTTCCTTTCACCACCGCCTTCCCTGGGCACCTTCACGAAGCATTCGTTCAGACTCAGATTGTGCCTGATCGAGTTCTGCCACCCCTTCTTGTTCCGTTCGAAGTACGGAAACTTTGATGTTATGTAGGAATATATTTCCGATAAGGTGGCTCGCTTCATGTGCGATGATTGTATGGCCATGGCTATCAGAGCGACGTAAGAATACGGCGGTTTCGTTTGATTATTCGATGAGGATGGTTGAGGCGATTGGCTGGAACTGCTGCTCGCCCTCGGCTCTTCCGAGACTTCATTCGATTGAGAAGTCGAAGGTGTATACGTACCGGACACCGGGACTATGGCTGCAAAATAACAAACAAACGAAGGTAATTTTTGTTAACTTGTTTACACGAAAAAATAACGCCAACTTGACCCCAGATGATAACCTACTCACGACGATAACGCATTTCTATCTCAAAAAAAAAATACATATATAAACCGAGCAATTTTTTTAAGTACATTGCAAATAGGTCATAGTTGAAACGGAGAAGACATGTTTCGGATAAAGGAATATTTGCATTAACCGCCGTTCGCGTAATCACGTCCGACTTAGAATATATATATATATTTTATAATAATTATTATTAATAAATGAATAATCAGCTTGCGTCATTGGCTCTTCGAAAATCGTCGGACTTAAGTTTTCCACGACTAAATATAGAAGTTGAATAGCCAGCCACACGTCGAATGGTGCTGTTTCAGCAAATAGTTGAACCGCGTAGGCGGCTTTTCTCACATGTAAAATCACGTATTTACTTACAACTTATTACATTACCCCGACATCTTACACATCATAATTCACTGCATAAACCATGTTCAACACATTATTTCTCCTTTTACCAAAGATAATTAGTACTAAAATTATGTAAACATCTAAAATTAGATGAGGCAATCAACGAAGTAAATGTCAATGAATGATATTTTCTGGAATACAAGAATGTAAGGCAAGTCGGATGCTATTATCGATGCGTTTTTATCTGCTCCTGCAATTGACAAATACACTTAAGTTCACAAAAAAAAAACAAATTCTTATGTGGCAATTATCGCGCGCTTTGATATTGAGCGCTTCAAAGACCACATCGAGTGTTTCGTCTTTATGAACGCACTTCTCCATTCCTCTTCTTTCGTTATTTATGTTGCGCCATGAAATAAATAACAACACGGTATCAATTACAATTAATAAATGGCTCGCGTTATACAAATACATTCATTATCGCTCAATTCGATGTAATTGTGGTTCAAACAAGATAACACATAATTTAGCAATGTTATGTAACTCATCAATAAATTTATTTTAATTATTGAAAATGTAAATTTAAGAGATTACAACTTACTATAAAGTTAATTAAATCTATATATATATTTATTCTATTTTTTAATATTTATCAATAAATTACATATGACTAGATCAGTGCGTGCATAAGTAAAAGTTTCCCAATAAATAATGAGATTTTGACGTCAATTTGTGATACACGCATTCGGTTTTTGTTGTTGTTATTGTTATTCATTGAAAATACATAAAACAAACAATTATTTATCGAAGAATTACTCGAATTAAATACAACGTGAATACGACAGAGATTTTCAATTAATTTAAATGTTTGTGCATTATAAATATTTATTATTTTTTTTGCAAATATAAATATTATTTATGTTGTTGCCTTTTTGCGACCGCTCCAATTAACTGAAATTATCTCATTTCAACATTGATAAAAACAACATACCAAACCTGATCTTAAAATATGTTTTATCGATTATTTACTTATTATATAACGTAATTGTATCTGTACTTATCTTTATATATGTTATTTTTGTTATATGTAAAGGTATATTATAATATTCAATTAAAGTTCTATTATATAACGTTTCTATAAGTATCTTAATATTTTAAAGTTGGTGAGGATATTGTATTAAAATGTTGAATAAGTAAATAGGTTATTAACACAAGAATTTTCGAATGTACTGAAAGCAAATTAAAGCTTGGCAACAATATTCCACTTGAAACATTCGAAGAGATTTCTTTAGAAATTTGATTTCTTAATGTTTCAAAGTTTTCCATTTGACTAAAATAACATTGTTTTGCGTTCGAATTCTATTATTATATACTTCTTCTACTAACAAGTTCTAAGCGGCGAGCTAACGAATGTTATAAAGTATGTAAATAAATTAGCCTAATTCTGATTCTGGGGACTGAGTAACATCCGGCCGACCGTGTACAACATAGTGGATAATTTGTGGACATTTGGGTAAAATTTGTGCTCGCATATAATGGATGGTGACATTTATAGTGTTTAGGGAGGTCTATAAGTGTGGATATATATTTAGAAGAGATGCATAGTGCGTGCTGGTAATGCATAGCGGCTCAGCGTTGCGATCAGCTTGACACGTCTGCGACGGTGTTACACACACACTGTTACGGCTTCAAACTAGGTATGAAGGTAGGTAGGTAGGTAAGAAGGAAGTTATGGGGCTATTCGTCCGTCCTCCCTTCTGTAGCGCGGCCCTTAGGGCTGTCGCATTGCGAAGGGAGCAACTCCCATTGTTGGAAACTAATTGAGCGCAGACAATTAGCCTCTTCAGACCACCTCGGGGCCCAATTAACCTGAGCATCCGCCCCTAGGTCTCGCTCGGAAGTCTAATCGTTACACCTGTAATAGATAAATTAATGGATCTCTCCCTCGCAGCATACACGTGTCGGATTAATTAACCATATTTATTCGCCCAACTTATTTATTCTTGGAAAACATAACATCGAGACTATTTTCGATCCAAAAACCCGTGATGCAATAATACATCATTCAATCGCTTTCAAAGCACGTCAAAATCATGAAAGCAAAGCGACGACAGTTCCCGTATCAAAAAAAAAAAATCTGTGAAATTTATAGGAATTGAGCATTTGCGTTCGTGAACACTCGTGACGTCTTGTAAGAAGATGGTGAATGCTGGAATCGCGTCACGCGGTGTGTTTTATAGAAGGCCTTGTTTGTCCCGGTGACATTTTGACCTCTTCAGATAACAGTGCGGACCCAATTCTCAGGGTCACTCCAGGGATAATACGAAAAGTGGATATTTTCGGTACCGTCGTCTTCAAAGAAAAAAAAATAATATGTTGAACGAAAGAAACATAATCGTAGACTGGAATATTTTCGGCATTTGTTGTAAATTAAGTTCAAGAACCTAAATTCGTGTTTATTAATACATCAAATGGCGGGCCGATAAATTATTCTGCATGGTATAAAAATTGTCCCTCTCGTCTTGCCGTATATACACACATATATATAGATATTTCGGACATTCGCACCTAATAAACAGCCTGTTATTACAGATTTTATTCGTGCGGTTGACGGAATTACAGCCTCGATTGGACACATCTGAAGGAGGTGTCGACTGTCCGCTCTGTCGTTGCTTCGGATGTCGCAGGATACACACTCTCATTACTTTATTTACAAAATACTTCAAGTCTTGCAAATATTCCTAATATATTTCAAAATTTATTTATAATTTACCTACAAAGCTTTTACTAATAATACAATAAATATCATTAAACAAAAACCTCGTTCGAATCGAGGGCATCAAAAAAAAAGTTGTATCTTCATTAGTTCTATTTTTATTTATATCTCAACATATTTAAAAATAGGATCATTAACAATAGATATACTCTTTATATCAAATATTTTCTCATTTTTTGCTATTACTATTATATGAACATCATTAAAATAATTACAGAATGCAATAATGTATTTGATGAAATTCTTATTAATAATAAACTATGTCAATTATTTATTTAAATTAAATGAGATTAGAAAATGTTGTTATATGAAAAATTGGGTAAGAAGACTTCGGTCATAATTGTATCAAATAAAGATGTAATAATAATTGAAAATTGTTATTTCATGTAATTCAATATAAGCCAATAATTGAATGTAGTTTTATCAAAATGCTAATTAAATTTGACTCCGGAATTAGATTATTCCATGTTCGTATAATGAAAACATAATACTAAGATTACGACGCAGTTCACTTGAAGAATATACGGTTCGCGTCTAAGGTGTCTTGGTGTTCTTGCAATTGATACGAAGAGATGAGAATTATAGTTTTTTTTCATATATATATATTTTTTTGGACATCGAGTCTGACCATTAAAGCGATGGGGGTCAAGAAATTCGCGCTGATTCGAAGATTTGCAGGAACAAAGTGCAGACATTGTTAAATTCGTGCCGAGGCAAAATATTGAATAGGTGTGCACGTACGGCGCATACAGAGTTGTAAGCTCTTATGTTTGTTTGTTACGTCCCCGCATGAAGTAATAAATATGCAGTTCCAGTTTCGAGTTACAAGCTCGTAGCAGTTTATTACACTTGTTTTGGCTGATGTCGGGCCCTTCGCCTTTAATCAGCCGTGATATTACCACACAGTCAAGTGGGGTTTTCTACGAGGAGAAGGCTCGACTCGGACGAATGCACCATAAAAAGGTTGGATATGGATGGTAGTCAGCGTTCGGACGGGGTGCGATTCGTGCGATGTCTGCAGATACCCGACGATGAAAACAAAGAGGTTACGTTTTTACCATGAAGAAGAAGGAATTGAGGAGTTGTTGTTTTGTATTGCGAAAATTGATAACGAAGTTTGTAGGCATATAAGTGGGAAAACGATAAGTAAGCGCTTTTATCGGACCGAAATGAAACGAGGAATGATGGTAGAGAGACGGAGGGGAGCTGAAACGAAACGAGCCGTGGGCCTCTGGTATATTAACATTGATAACGTCCAAGACTTCGGGCATTTCTAATCGTTTTCGTTTCGCAAGCGGCAACAACTTGTTTACTATACAATTATGCTGTTATCAAAACTGTATAATATTATATTCATTACAGAATTACACAGCAGTATCAGCATCCAATATAAATACACAACCGTATCAAACACACCACTTTTTTTTAACGATTCCTACATAAAAGGACATATAAACAAACTATAATCTATATAAATTCACTCTCAGACGTTCTCCTTTTCTACTCTCTAACATTTCACGTTTTAATTTCGATACTTTTATCATAGTCTAATTTGTTGATATTTGCTTTTCGTATTCATTGATAGATTTTGCATACAATCTCCACTATTGTGCATCTTCGTTAATGATTATTTTTTTAAATGAATCTACATACCATGTGCGTGTATCGATAATGCTGTGCTCAGTGGAGGAAGTGTGTAACCATTTTCTGGTTCGCTTTTGATTTTCTGATGATGCACATCCGACGGCACCAAATCCTGAAACAAAGCAACATTCATCAGCTCACATATTTACATAATTAAATTAATAATATTTCCATAAATCTACATTTATAAACAGTTTTGTCAAATTGCTACATTATTTTTGTGTATTTATTAATTCGTTCTAATATTTTCATAAACTGTAAGTGTATAAATTCACTTAATTATTAAAAAAATATATAATAATAAAAATAACAATATTTATTGAAACTATTAAAATATTGCGGACAAAAATAATTAAATTAAAAAAAAAACAATGCAACAGGAAGTAATTTAAATATAATTATTTTTTACCTGCTTACAAAAAAATAACACAAAATCTATACGAAAAGTAAAGTTAATGGTTGTTTTAATTAGTTTTTCTTTTAATCATTACACTATTAATGAAGTTCATTTACCCTGAATTAATCAATTAACATTGTAATTAAATCATAAGAATTATTTCAGTTCTGGAGGTAACTTTCACAACTTTAAATTTTCTTATTGATAAAGTAATTAAGAATCGGAGTAAATATTTTTTATTCTATTAAATTGTGATTGTGATCATCATAACAATATTTGTTTTACTGTGATTTGATTACTTTCAATAAGTTTTTGCTAGAAATTCGTACTTGTTATTCAATTTTTACAAATTATTTAGAGAATTACGCTTTTCTAAATGAAATAATACATATAATATTTTTTTGATATTTCCGCTTAACAAAACCCGGCAAACAATTGCAATTACGTAAGCCGTAAAACTCCCTTTCCGCTCTCGCCGTTTAGTATTAAAAGAAAATGATAAAACTTATACGAGAGTGGCTTTTAGAAGAATTTTAATTTAATGAATTACGTTTTCTTAAATTCTAAACGTTTAATTACACCTTTTTACATGTGAACTGTTAAACCTCGTGACGCGGCCGTTCTCCTTCCTCTCTGTGTCGCTGCGAAAAGTTGAATTTAATTTCATACGCAAAATTAATTTGCAGAATCGCCTTATTACCAAACAGAATAAACAAAACGAGAAAGTAATTACTCTAAAAACATATAATATATTCGCATTTTATAATTTTACTTCTCAAAACCTGAATAAATAAATTATAATACTTATAGATAAATGAGTTCATAGTAGTAATAATAATCTAAATTTGTTACTACAGCAATTTTTATCTTAATTTGTAAATTTATTTATTTAAATAGATTGTTTGCGTAATAAAAATTGAATTGTTTTGTTTTGAAAATATAAATAATTACGACCTATGCCGTGATCCAATAATATGAATTATTACATTTTAGGTACACTCCAAAGAAACGATGGAGAATCCAAATTGATAATGCTTGTTTATATAACCTCTAACGCCGCGTTGCAAAGCTGTTTATTAACCAATTCCAGGATTAGTGGCGGCAATCCAAAACAAATTATTATTATTCACAAACACTTGCTGTTTTTTTTACACATGCTTCGATAAAAGCGATTTACAAACTGTTTGCAGCAAGACAATAATATTATGAATGACGACGTGAATGTGCAATAAAATCGTAGATTACCGTAATAAAGATTATCTGTTTGATTGGCAGCTCCGTTTCAATTTTGATTTTGGAACACAATAATAATAATATCGCAATTGGGAAATGCGTAAAATGCGTCATTTATTCTGCAAATGCGATTTCTAATTAGAAACGCGCGTTTCATTATATAAATAGGCTATGCGCGATGCACGTCGCAAGTAAAATATGATGATCCGTTGATGCAATTTGAATAATATTATTGGACTATTTATAAAACACATCGTAGGCAATGCAAAACATAGTTTCATCCTGCTTTACGATCCACGCAGCAAAGTGCCCAATATATGCGTCCGTACATAATATACACTCAGCGTGTAAATAAGTAACTATGAGAACGAATAATGTACGAAGTCGCATTCGTTACGTTTCCTTCCTTTTTTACGCAATTTAATTACACTCGCGTTTGTAAACAGAAATATCTCTCCGCATATTAATTTATCGCTGTTCTAAATATTACATTTCTTTGTTAATGAATGAATAGAAAACTCATTGATAACTGGAATTTCAATAAAATGTCACTTACGTGATACTTGCCACGTATCTTGTTGTACAAATATTGTCTTTTGTAATAAGCACATAAATGTTTACATATTATTATATGGAATTATACAAAATATAACAATCAGAAATTTCCAAATTATCTGATTGAATTATTAATTTTTTTATTTTGTTTGAAGTCTTCTGTTTGCGAAAATATTATAATAAAAGCAATATTATGTTGGAATTGGAGATTTTAGTATACTTTTCTTAAGAGAATTTATTAAAAAATTGCATAACATAATGAATAACATAATGAAATTGAAGATTTTCATATACTATTCTTTTCATAGAAATCTTTGCATAATTAATAAATATTAGAAGAATTATCACAAATTAGCAGAAAATGTGAGTTTCATCAACAGTTTGTAAAATAATAAAATATATTTTTCATTATATCAGTACCTCATATAAAGCTTCAATCTGTGCGAAACATATTCTAAAAAAAATAGTACATACAATTAATCCGTTCCAAAAATTCCGGATATTTACTCGTATAGTGAAACACGTTTTTCCTTGCCGGAAAAAAAATATAACTTGGTCTCGATTTTTAATGATTTTGCTTTTCATGGTTCATTTATTCTTTGCCTTTTTATTCGGAGACATGCAAGTATTATTAAATTTTGCACAAAAACAAAACACAAATAACAACTCTAAGATGCAACTAGAATGACCACTAACACTAGGAACTGTTTTCCAATTCACACACGGTGAAGTAAGTTTATATTTGTTTACATTACTTGTATCAATTCGGGGACTTGGAGGTCTCTTTATACATAGTGTGTTTATATATTATAATAATGGTTTGACACAATACATTTGTGTTTTGCATTTACAGCATACACAAATTATATTTGCAAAGTATAGTCCGCTTTAAACAAAGAGATGACAAAGAAAATCAAAGATGGTTAATATATTCAAAAATACACATAATATGTGTACACAAGTTTTAAAAATGATGCAGTAGGCGCGCAATTCGGGACTTCTCTTCTCATCATCACACGTTATGCGAAACATCGCTCTTTAAACGAGTCATTTTTTCTTACAATTGATTTTGCTCGATAAGCAAAATGCTCGTTGTGCGAGGTTCCACTGTACTTTTCTTTTCACAGAAATGTTTGCTTTATTAATAAAGATTAGAAGAATTATTACAAATTAGCAGAAAATGTGAGTTTCATCCTTGCTTAACGAGAATAATCCGTTCCAGAATTTCCAGATTTTTACTTGTATTGTGAATTACTCGTATAGTGAAACAGTTTTCCCCATATAAACTAATGTAAAATACAAAAATGCGTTCCATGCTGGAAAAAAGACTATAACTTCATCTTGATTTTTAATGACTTTGATTTTCATATCAATTTAATTGGAGTGTTACTAAATTTTGCTCAAAAAAACACATAACATGTCCAAACAAAAGTTTGGAAATATGTGTGATCAAGAATCAACACTAAGATGCAACTATAATGACTATTAACACCAGGAACTATTTTCCCAATCACACACAGGGTGAAGTGAGTTTTCGACTGACCCATTTGTTTATATTACTTGTATAGATCCGGGGTCCTTGGATGTTTCTTTATCCTTTTTGTATTTGTTTATATAATAATGATTGGACACAATACATTTTTATATGCTTTTACAACATACACAAATTATATTTCCAAAGCTTAAATAAAAATGATAAAAACAATCAAAGATGGTTACAAGTTTTGAAAATGATGTAGCAGGCGCACAATCCGGAACTTCTCTTCTCCTCGTCCTTGAGGTTCCACTGTACCTCATGAAGCTTTGATCTGTGTGAAATAAATTCTAAAAAATTAGTACACTAAAATATTTTTAATATTTAAATGATCGGTTTTCCCCTTTATACACTAGGTCTATTTTTAGCCGTTTCAAACAGTCCGAAACGTAATTCATCTATGTGCGGATTAACGAGATATTGCTGCATTTAGTTCGTCCATTAGTCTATTTTCAAATAGTTGCTTTGTTTTTTTTTGTAAATATTTTTGTTAATACAGGTAAATTGATTTTTAACTTTATTTATTGAATTGAATTACTTAACAAAAGGTTTATGTATGTAATTAGAATTCCAACAGTTATCAATACAAGAAATTATTGCAATTACGATTAAATAAAAAAAAAATCCTGCGGACTTTGAGATTGAGATTGGAACATGCGTGCCGCAAAATTAGATTAGAATAAAAATATTTTTAGATTTAATGTCCACTGACGAATAAAAGCGAGTCACGATTACATCCAAAGTTGTATCGAATTGGAAAGGAACTATATAGATAGAATTGCACGCGTTCATCCGATTCCCGATGCCGATTAATTGGCAATTCGAAAATAAACAAACACGACTATTTGTGTAAATATTTATTTTTCCGTTTCGCAGACTTGTAACGCGATCGGCTCGTTCCAAATAGAACACCTAATGATAAACACAAGGCAGCACGTAAAGAAGAAAAAAAAACAACAACAACAACAACAACAACAAACAAAGTAAAACGTGCAGTTGCCATTCGAAAAGAAATCGGTTTTATTGCACGATAAAATCCTTTATATAAAGTTGTAATTAACAAATAATTTGCAGGCTTTCCTAGTATTCAAATTACTTTCGAAAACAGTTATTCAGCTTCCATTTAAAAATAAAGGAAGAAAACGGAGAGACATAAAGAGAAAGATAGAGAGACATCATAAAATTGTTATTATTATTACGCAAAGTCGTTTTCCTAAAGTTCATTTGCTCGTTTTTAATTGCCGCGTTCCGCTAAAATGTATTTATTTATTTGTTGCTTCGTTTCGAAAAAATTCGATAGTTTTCAGCTTTTAATCCATGAAATTATCGTACTATGCCGGCCCTCCTCACATTGTGTTTGTGTGTGTTTTTTTTGTCAACGTTTCGTTTGGTC